CCATGCAGATGGTAAGCCTCGTAGAATTTTGAGATTAATTTCTTTTTGGCTAATATTTTTGCCAAGATCACTAATCTCTCCAAGAATTTTGATCATTCGAGCTTCCATGTCTGCAACACTTTCATTTGAGAGAATTTTGAAATCTTCAAACTTCTTCATGGCGATTGTGAGCTTATTGTCTTTTTCTTGTTCATCTCATTCGCCAATCTTGATGAGAGTTTCCCATATTTCTTTAGCAGTAGCACACTTTCGGATCTTCGGAAATATTGTATCATCCACGGCTTTGAATAGAATATCCTTGGCAATATTGTCAAGATTATTCCGTGTTCTATCGTCCGATGTCCATTCCGGTTTGGGCTTTTGTACGTACTGTGGAGCATCCGGAGATATGACAAACGCCATATTGACTTTTAATATTTCGATACGGCCAGTGGAAATTACTTCCCACATTTCATCGTGTAAAGCCGATAAGTGTACCTGCATACGAACTTTCCAATCATCAAATTTATCAAGTGAGAATAGTAGATATTGAGCTAAACCTTTCTTCATCATCATCATGAAAGATATGAAAGATTAATCCAATCATACACTTTGTAGAATGGATCAGCCTAGCAGTCAGAAACAGTTGACCCAAATAGGCAACGTTTTTTGATACCAGTTGTTGGTATTTGTCAACGACAAGCTGACTCAAATAGGCTACAGGCTCTGATACTAATTTTTGGTCCCAAAAGAGGTAAGGTGAAAGTCTAGAGGGGGGGGGGGGGGTGAATAGACTTTCAAACTTTTTCGCACAGCACAACAATTGCTAAGCCAGAGAGAAACCAAAACTCTTAACTAGATTGTTAGAGTATGATGCACAGCGGAAATGAATAAAGATAAAGTGTGTGTGAGATTGTGATAATATATATCTCATGAGAAGCAAGTTAAAGAGCAGTAAGTAAAGAAAGCAGTAAAGAACACAAGACAATTATAGTGGTTCAGAGGTGGTGTAATCCTCCTACTCCACTTGCTCTTATCTCCAAGAGCAATTCACTATATCCACCACTTCTTGGTTCCAAGATACAATGAATTCCGTGATCTAGTTCTTTGATCACCAAGCCTGCACTAATCACGCCCAGTGACACCACACTGCTGCTTCGGGTTTCACGTCGCCGCGCTACTATCCCAGGATTTCACGACTCCGCGTTACTTTCCACCCGTCTTCCACACTCCGGTAGAAATGTATCCCGTGATCTAGTGCTTTGATCACAAAGCCCACACTAATCACGCCCATTGCCTCCGACACTGCTGCTTCGGATCTCACTGCTCCGTGTGACAATCCAGGATTTCACAGCTCCGTGCTACTTTCCTCCCTTTTCTTGTGTTGCTCCAAAACAAGTTTTGTCTTGCTTCCAACTTCGAGACTCGGTAGTTGATCTTCAATGATGCGCTTAGTCTCTTTGATGAAGATGTAACACTCATTGAAAGATTTCTCTTGAACGCTCTGAGTGTTTTTCTCTCTTTGAATGTATCAAGTATAGCACTTGATTTTATGCTCTGTTTAGCCCTGTTTTAGAACTCTCGGAATATTTCTCTTTGAAGCTCTCTGGCTTCTTTTTCTTTTCTCTCTTCTCACTTGAAGATTTCTTTTGGTATGCTCTGTACCAAATGAGACTTTTGCTCTTTGTATTCTTGCTCTTTTGCTCGTTAGTTCCCCATCTTCAAATCTTCACATCTTCATCATTTTATAGCTGGTAATGAGAATCTGCCCGTTGGAAAGAGACGATCTCATTTTTGAATTCTTGTATCTTTTGTCAGAGATGTTATCTTATCTTCTGGCAAAGTGTCAGAAAAGATAAGCTAGCCGTTGGTTGAGCTCCAACTTCATGCAAATGAGTTCCCAAACTTCATCTGATATTCCTCTAGTTTTCTCACGTTTCTTGGGAATATCTGGGTCTCAGTTTTGTGTAGAACGACTTCTCTGATCAGCTCTGAAGTGGTTCTTGGGATTTAAATACTTCAAAAATATTCTTCAATTTAATCCCATACTAGTTAGACTAGTATTTTTCTTTCTGAGAAATTCTTCACTGTAAGTTTTCTCATCTTCTTCGTCTGGGTGTTCTGGTATTTCAAACTGGCTTTGAACTTCCTCCCAATTTGAATTTCTCCTTTGTAATTGACACCCAATTGCAATTGACTTGTAATTGGCACCCAAATTGAATTTCTCCATTGTAATTGGCACCCAATTGACTTTGACTTGTAATTGGCTCCCAATCTACTCCTGGTGCTTCAATTGCTTCCCAATTTGAATCATTTGACTTTGACTTCGAAATTGGCTCCCAGACTTCTCCAGGTATTGAATTACGTCTTCTTTTAATTGGTCCCAATCTGAAATTGCATCCCATGAATTACGTCTTCTTTTAATTGGTCCCAATCTGAAATTGCATCCCATATTACAACTTGGATTGGCTCCCAATTTCAATTTTACATTGGCTCCAACTTGAATTGATTCCCGAGAAATTGATAATACACATAAAGCTAAGGGTATTTCATAACTAATTGATTGAGCAGCTGCTCGTAGACCACCTAAAAAGGAATATTTATTTTTTGATCCATATCCGGACATAAGAAGTCCAACGGGAGCAATACTTGAAGCGGCGATCCAGAAAAAAACCCCAATACTAAGATCGGCTAAAATAAGCTTATAACCAAAAGGAATTACTAAATAACTTTGAAAAACGGATATCACTGGTATGGAAGGTCCGATACGGAATAAGCGAGTATCCCCTCGAGATGGAAGAAGGCTTTCTTTCAAAAGGAGTTTGATACCATCTGCTAAAGCTTGAAGAATTCCTAAAGGACCCGCATATTCGGGGCCAATACGTTGTGAAACTAGCTCCCAATTTCAATTGCTCTGAAATCGGCTCCCAAGTGCAATTGGGAAATTGACACCCAACTCCATCAGACTTAATTAATTTTGGCTTCTCAATTTCACCTTGTAAAATTATTGATGATGAGATTTGAACTTGAGCCATTTCACATAATACATCAAGCATTTTCCACTTCGTCCGTACAATCTATTGGTTATATCTCCAATCTTCTTTGATGTACTCCTTTCTTTCCATAGATGCTTGATCTCCAAGTCAAATTCATGCAATCTTCCAATCTTAATTTTCTTTCACGAAAATTCTTCTGGGAATTCTTTTTTTGAGTAGTAGCGATGTGAATATCATATTATTCATCTTCTTCTATTTGTCATTTTCTCCAGACAAATTCTTGATTTTAGGCTTGATATCTTCTTCTTATATTTTCATGCATCTTCCTCTGTTTTTCTCTTTTGTAAATTAAATAATTTCCCGATCATGGTCTAAGACTCTACTAGACCTATAAAATAAAATTGGGGGATCTACAAATACATATTTGGCATATCAAAACCATTACACTTTATTCCTAACACGTACTTTTGCCATAAGGTGTCACTTCTCATCAAAGCCGATTTTACGTCAAACGATAGCTTTGGCAAAGTTGTTTCGGTGTTATAGTTGGTTGTTTGTGAGGGTGAGGGAAATAGCAAGGAAGAAATGGATAGATGGTGAGAGGGGGTGAGGTGAGACTATGGAATTGAGATTTAGGGTTTGTATTATTTACTAGAGTTAATCAACGATTTGGTCCCTCAATTATTAGCGAATTGTCAATGTAGTCTCTCAATTGCTTATTCATCGATTTGGTCCCCGAAAACAATTATTTTTAGTCGATTTAGTCCCTCAAGCCGTCTTCCGTACACGGCCGTAGGGACTAAATCGACTAAAAATATTTATTTTCGTGGACCAAATCGACGGCCGGAGGGACTAAATTGACTAAAAATAATTGTTTTCGGGGACCAAATCGATGAATAAGCAATTGAGGGACTACATTGACAGTTTGCTAATAATTGAGGGACCAAATCGTTGATCAACTCTATTTATTATCTATTGCATCTTGGATTAATGCGGGTGAATTAGAGAATTTACAATCTTTGTTTATTTTTTAAAAATAATAATGACAGGCTAGCTTGCCACTTAGCGTGGCTAGCCCGTGTGGCTTACTTTTTGGCGGGTCTCAAGATTCCTAATCCACACCTACCTTATTCGGTTGCAAGGTAGGCCAGTTCAGTAGATTATACTTGTTTTTACAGTATTTCATTTAATCAAATCATTACTTGCATATTTGATGAGAATGCTGATATTTTAAAAAAATATATATATTTGCATCCCTTCATTTCTTTGAATATTATTTAATTTCTTTGCATCCCTTCAATTCTATGGATAACTTATTTGGGAAATTCTTAGGGGTGTTTGACAATTAGTTGCTCATAGCCAATTATGTTTATAGTTTGACCAGTTGGTTGTAGTAGCGGTTTGTATGAAATTGTTTGGTAAATGAGTTGTTTACTATAAGTGGATAACTTGTAAAATGACTTTTAAGGGATAAAATATTATCCGAGCAAATCATTAGTCCTATGGACACCAATTTCGAGCTGGGCATTTTTGAAATTTCACTTTGAACAATCGCCCGATAAGCTTTTCGAGAAAGACAATGGCTTCCGTTTAGCTGATAGACATGTATCAACCATCATTTCTTTTTTTGAATGTATCAACCATCATTTCAGTTGGCTTTCAAGGCTGCATTTCGCGCCCCCACTATAATTGTGAAATTTTAAAAATGTCTTCACTCTAAACCAGAGTTCTCCAAATTTTTCATCCCAAAAGAAAAGTGACAAAGATTTAAAAGTGGTCATTGAAATAATTGAAAACAAAAGTTATAGTCCTCAAAAACAAAGGATATATAAGTTCTAAGTTCAAACACAGAATATAAGACAAAGGGTTTTGGAGCCACTCCGCATGCACGATCAAACATAATGACCAATATATTCTCATAGTTAGGACATGAGTAACTTGATTCGCATGCCATTATGTTACAAATTAGTAGTCATCTATGACATTATAACCAACAAGGTTATACGTAGACTTGTGCTAATCCAGGAAGACAAGTTGTGCATTTGGAGATGCACGAGGGAAGCACATCAACTCCCTTAATATCCTGATTAATAAAGTAACGATCTGGATTAGTGGATCCTCCAAATGCTTCATAGTATCTTCTTCAAATTGGCTCCATGACTACAACTCAACAATAAACGACAAAAACTGTACAACGAGATTGAAAACTCAAAAGAAACAAAGAAATAATAAAGAATCATGGTTGCTAAAAATAAACTAACTCAATTGTACGTACCATTGCTGCCCCAATACCCAATTCACATAGGTTGGGAGATTTTTGAAGCAATGTCATAGCAGTGGCGATCTATGCTCCTCACTACTAAAACTCAAATCATGCAGCTCCATTACTTGCAGATTTATTGCAGTCAAAGAATTAAGCACCGCTGCGGCAACATCTCCACGCTAGAAAAAGAATAGAGAAAACAGTACAAGTTAGCCCAAGCCAGACAAGAACTTTAGCATTATATTATTAAATCCTTAGCTTCCATCCATTTGTAGCAAGTAAAGCTAAGCGAGATAGATTATATTCTTAATTACCCACAAGAAACTGCCTCCAGACAAGCAAAGAGTCTTAAGTCTACGAAATTGAAGTGCAAGCCATCTCGTTCAAACCCAGAATACGCACTAATGTGAGGCAAGCCTTCAAGTTTGGGAGCAATGATCTTAAATTTATCCATCCCCCTAACAATCTCCAAGGAAAGCCAGCTTCTCAAGATTAGGAATAGTAGAGGCAACTCTATTAACACTCCACTTAAACTCAACGCTATCGAAAACTAATGAAGTTACTTCGGGGAATATACAGCGAGCATTTGCTGGGAAATTTACAAGGAGACTATCGAGTTTGAGCCGCTTAATTGTGGGGCACGACAATAAACAAACTGGCAGCTTAAACATGCTTCCAAGAACAAAGAATTGCAAGGCCAGTTCTTCAATACCATTTGTTGATAGAAAGTCACACCACCGCTCTATATCAGATTGTTGCGGCTTAGGCGCTAAGAAGATGTTTAAAATGAAACCCATAACCTTTTTTGTTTTTGAAATTACACAAACACTTGATTAACTAGCAAGATCTAATAAAGTTCATAACACAGAATAGAAGACAAAGGGCTTTGGAGCCACTCTACATGCATCATCAAAAATAATGACCAATTCCCAAGTTAAGACATGAGTAACTCAATTCGCATGCAGCAAATTAGATGTCATCTACGACATTATAAGTTTGTAACAAACAAGGTTATACGTAAAGGTGTGCACCCTGACGAAAATTTGTGCATTAGGAGATGCACGAGGGTAGCATGTCAACTCCCTTTGGATATTCTTCCCCATTAACGCATATGTTATACTGCATGCAGGGTGAATAATAATTCTCTCCAATGCAGGGAGAAGACCGACTTTACAAAAAGAACTTCAAGCATAGATCCATTAAACTTGTGAATCTTCACTGCTCTAAGCATCTTCATATCCTGATTAATAAAATAACAGTTTGGATCCTCCAAATGGTTCAAAGTACTTTCTTCTAATTGTCTACATGCCTACAACTCGACAAGAAACGAAAAGCACGTACAATGAGATTGAAAACTCAAAAGAAACAAAGAAATAATAAAGAGTCATGGTTGCAAACAAAAAATAAACTAACTCAACCGTACGTACCATTGCTGCCACAATACCCAATTCACATAGGGTGGGAGATTTTTGAAGCAACTACATTAACAGTACTCCACTTAAGCTTAACGTTATCGAAAACTAATGAAGTTACTCCGGGGAATATACAACAAGCATTCGCTGGGAAATCTACAACGAGACCATCGAGTCTCAGCCGCTTAATTGTGGGGCACGAGAATATACAAACTGGCAGCTTAAACGTACTTCCAACAACAAATAATTGCAAGGCGAGTTCTTCAATACCATTTCTTGATAGAAAACCACACCACCGCTCTATATCAGATTGCTGCAGCTTAGGCTCTAAGAAGATGTTTAAAGTAAATTTCTTGGCGGGTCCACGACGGAGCAAGAGAATATTATTTATTATGTTCGCAGCACTTGTGGAGTTTTGAGCTATGTGATTTTGGATGCTTCGAAAGAAATACCTATCAAACAAAAGCCGCCCATGCTGCAACCAAGCATTCTTCCAGAGGGTTGAGAGCATGGCCATCCTGGCCGCATTTTGGGTGGGCAAGCACTCCAAAATTCTTTCTTTTAGCTCTATTGGCAGTTCACTTATCAAATCCCTTCTTTCATCTTGTGTGTTTTCCATTCGACGACGAGTAGCCTTTAAATTCAATTGGGAGCTGATTGAGTAATGATGAGGACGTTTAATATAATTTGTTCGCTACTTCAATTCTTTTGGGGTCGTTCAAAATCAGATCAAAAGTAGTTTAAACCATTCAATTCTTTAACCTGCAAGAAATTAAAAGGAAATTGGTAAGAAGAAAGATATCAGATTAGCAATATGAACTCTAATCATATTCAAATATATTATATAACCTCAATCTTTTCTCTTTTAAATTTTTTAGAACTTTTTTTCTCTCTCTTTTTTTTTTTTTTTTTTTTTTGTATAAATAAAATTGCTATATAAAAAATGAATGTATCATTAAAAATAAATGACACACATATTGATTTTGTTTTCTTATTTTGATACTATTGACTCTATTACCATACAAGGTCCATACAAGGTAGTATATATTTTATACTATTGATTTTATTTTTTATTTTCAATTTTTTAAATGAGCTTGAAGTCCATTAAGTTAATTACTACTACATATTGACTGAGACATTTAATTCTCTAGATCTATAAACTTACTATTATAGGTTTGTCACACAACTAGTGTGTGTATAAAAGTCAAACAACTAGTGCCCTGTTTGTATGTGTTTATTAAATCGTTTATCAAATCACTACTCCATGTCTATTAAGTCAATAAAATATATCCATAACATAATTATTGAAAAGATATATTATAAAAATATATCAATATAAGTGTCATTTAAAATATTTAAATAAGATATTTTTTAATGATATTTTTCATACATATATTGACTTTATTATACAAAAATAAATAAAGAATAATGTGTTATTGAAATGTTTGGAGGATCTTCTTTGCATTGCTAAAGCCTACAATTCAAATTCCTTTTAATTCTTTGAACTTTAATTTGAAATTTCTCTCATAAATAAGGTTACGGCTTAAATTACTTTTAACTAGAGTTGTCAATGCGGGCTAAAGACAAGTGAAGAAAAACCTCAATCCGTCTTTCCCACTGATAATTTTTTTTAAAAAAAATGAAAAATAAAAAAATAAAAATTAGAGCAAAGCAAGCCACACCAACCCAAATATAATGCGAAATAAATATAATCAACAACATAAATATATAATACACTTATCTATGCCAAAAATGAATTTACCACAAGAAATTGGAAATAAATAAATATATAAAAGTTAATAACAAACACCAACAAAGTAAGAGAATATCTTACTTTAGGCATAAGGTGTCACTGCTCATCAAGGCTTAATCTACGTCAAAGGTAGCGTTAACGAAGTTGTTTCGGTGTTGTTGTTGGTTGTTTGTGAGGGAGAGGGAATTGGCAAGGAAGAAATGGGTTGACGGCGAGAGGCGGAGAAGTGAAGCTATGGAACTGAGATTTAGGGTTTGTATTATTACTATTTATCGCATCTGAAATTAGGGCCGGTGAATTAGAGAATTTAAAGAATTTTTTACAAAATAATAATAGCAGGCTAGCTCGCCCAGCCCCTTAGTAGGGCTAGCCCATGTGGCTTACTTTTTGTAGAGGGTCTTGTAATTCCTAATCCACACTATGCCGTATTACGCAGCATGGTAGGCCGGCCGAATAGGTTAGGCTTATTTTAATAGTATTTCATTTAATTAAATCATTACTAGCATATTTGATGAGAATGTTGTTATTTTCTAAATAATTTTTTCATCCCTCCATATGTATGAATATTATTTAGATTATAAAAACTTATATGTAATCTTCATTTCTATGGATAAATTATTTGGTAAACTCTTAGGGATGTTTGACAATCAATTGTTAGCTCATAGCTAATTATGTTTGTTGTTTTGATCAATTAGTAGTATTTTTTTTTTGGTGTAAACCACACATTGTGGTCCGGGTCTTTCTCTGTCCGTTTAACGGTTCAAGTCCACCCGGTTCGCTCCGAGAGGCACAGAAGCTAGCCCAAAGGGAATCGTCACTTGTGGGAATTGAACCCGGGTTATCCCAGAATAACCCAATAATATTAGGAGTAATTAGATTTTTTTTTTAAATGAAATTAGCTGATACCAAAGAACTACTCCAACTATTTTTTTTTTTTTTTTTAAACTTTGTTGTGTAAATGTTGAATTGATCAAGTTTTTTATTTTCTATGCTCTTCTAAATTCGATGTAACCGACTTGTAAATTAAGGCCATCTCCAATGTAGCGCCAAAAAAATTGTCGTTTTTCAATTCCAACGTAGCACCAAATTGGCAATTTGTTTGTCGTTCGTGAACAGTGCTGCGTCAAATATGGAGCAACAGTGTTCATCCACGCCATTTTTTGGTATTATTTTTTATTCTTGTTTTGCCCCTACTTTTATTTGTTAATTCCTTTTATATCCTTTATTTTGTTTTTATGTATTTATATATTTTGTTAAATACTTGAGCATAAATTTTATATTGTTATAAATAAATTATATCATTTGGAAGATGTCATCAATATAATTAAAACAAGACTAATATTGAATATACATTAATTAAAAATCTATATCTATACTTCTATACTATATATAAAAACAAAATCATGAACTTTAGCTTCCCGCCCAATTCCTAAAAATCTCCCTTTCTAATAAAATATATTATTTTATATAAAAAAAAAATCCTAAACTTTAGCTTTCCGCCCAATTCCTAAAAAATCTCCCTTTCTAATAAAATATATTGTTTTCTACTTTCTTATTCGTACTATAATTCTAGGTTAAAATTCCTATTCTAATATTATAAAATAGTGTAATACATTCCTAATAGAATATATTGTTT